CTGCAGCATGGACTGTGCTTCAAAATAGCTTGGCAAGGCAAGTGATGTGCAATGCTTGGTCATTGTCACTGACTAGGTGGTGACCAGGTGACAGTGGCTAACCAGTGCTGGTCGCCATTTTCACCAGGTGCGCGGCGTTGGCGTGGGCGGCATCGTCTCCACAGCCTTCTCCTGCCTCTACAAGCTGTTCACTCTCCGCCTGACCCGCAAGCAGGTGAACGGCCTGCTACATCACACCGACTCACCGTACCTGCGGGGCCTGGGCTTCATGTACCTCAGGTGGGTACCTGTGGTATTGTCATTATCATTGACAGGGGCTACAGAGGAAGTCAGCAGAGGCAAAGGCTAAGGAACTGGACAGTCTCGGGACCCAAAGACTCACGGTGTGGTCATGGATCTGGTTTCCAAGAGTGTTGGTCTTGGCGAGGCTAGCGACCTCAGTGACCTTAGTGACCTTGGTGACCTCAGCAGCCATATGCACTGAAAAGTTACCAAATAATTACCAATTTGACAGTGTGTGGTTGCGCGACGCGCCGGACGTATTCTGCTGCATGTGACTTAGTGAAGGGAGCATCTTTTTATGTATGCTGTCCGTGCGCCTCCCGCACGCGAACGGGCTGGCCTGGCGCGCGGCGGTCGCTCCTGCTGGCGTCCTGTCGGCTCGGCTGACGGCCCGTCGCTGCCCGGCAGGTACACGCAGCCGCCGGCGGACCTTTGGGGCTGGTTTGAGCCGTACCTGGAGGACGAGGAGGTAAGGGCAAGCGCTGGCGCGGGGCGGCGCCGCGCCGCTCCACGACAGCGGGACGCCGTCCTCTGGGACGGGGCACCAGTCGAGATACGCGCCCCGGTCAGATGCCGCACGCGCTCCTTGATCATCGCACCACACGAACACCGCACGAACAAAACCACAGTGTTATAAAGTGTTTCGCCTGAAAAGGTCAGTTTAAAAGGTGCAAGTAAGGATGCTAAATAGTCGGAAGCACGCGTTATCTGACAAGTATTGTTGAAAATTACCGGACATTTAAATTGGTATCTTTCCCGCAATCAGTGCGGCCTGATAGCTAGAGACACAGACCTTGGTCCCAGGCTCAGCAGCTAAAGACGCCATTTGCGAGACACTAGCAACGATAGCAGGTGAAGGATATTCTGAAATTGAGAGATGTGTGTTCGTGTTCCAGGGGCTGTCAGGAGATATTTTCCTAGCAGATGAAGATTGGCTGCACAAAAAAAGATTCAAATTATCATAGATCTGCAGCGCAGCAAAAAAAAGTTCATAGATGTTATTTGATACATATCACGGCCTTTTTCAAATTGACATGCTGTGCGTATGAAGACCACACAAGCGACCATACCAGACGAGCATTACCCGGTGCTCGCGTCCGCACCAACCACTCTAGTGAGCCTCGGCTTCAGCTCCTTCCCACCAGTAATCTCAGCTGACGGCTATGTATTTCGGCGCGTGTTTGGCCGGTGCGGCTGCGGGTGTCTCGGGTCCCACCATGCCCTCCCGTGCCGGGCCGGGCCGGCCGGGCCGGTCTGTGCCGTGTTTGTGTCTACCGCGCCTGACTCTGTGTGTTTGGCACATTGCGCGGCGGTAGCGGCGACGGCGGCGGCAGCGCGGCCGCTCGGATGACCCTGAACCGGCCTGTGCTCTGTTCCGACAGGGAGCTCTGCGCCGCTCGGAGACGCCACGGACCGTGCGCCCTCGCAAGTAATCAGGCAACGACGCGGGGGTGGGCCGGCTTGTCTTCGCTGCCTCACAGTACGCGTGCGTGGCGCGCGCGGGCGCGGTGGCGCGCCGCGTCCGGTCGCGGCGCGGCCCTGTGCGCTCTCTTGTCAGTCAGCAGTGCCGTCGGTCTGGAGTTGGCCGCGCGTGGCCGCCGCCGTGCGCTGGCGTCCGCCGCTGACGCCGCCGCCCTCTGCCCTCCACCCGCAGATGATCGACGTCAGGGCTGGAGGCGGCGAGGAGATGACCGTCGGCGTCATGGTGCGCAAGATGCTGGTCAAGCTGGACTGGTACGGCACGCTGTTCCCCCGCATCCCCGTGCCGATCCAGGTGAGGTCCGCGCCCTCCTCACGGAGCAAGCGGTCCCCACGTCCGCCGTAATGAAACGACTGGGGAACAGCCTCGTGGCCTGGTGATGATAAACGGCCATGATAGACAGATTTCTCGATCACGACGGCGATGATGTAGCCTGCTATTGTGGTGTGTGTGTGGTGCGAATCATTTGATTAGCTGCATGTTCATGGAAATATTTGCGTTTCCAATATAATGAGGCGCCTGTTTACGTTTACTAGACACCGTGCATCATTCCTCATTAGGCATTGTGACTGGAGCACTCAGGGCAGCACCAGTTGCCAGCCTTGCGGTGAAAGTAAATGAAACCGGCGTTGGCACTGAGAAGGGAAATGCTTGGCATGTGATACTATTGCAAGCTGATCCAATTTCCAAACCATCCGACTCACCGAGCACTTTTTCCACGTATTGTTGCACGCATGTTTCAAGGTAGCGGAAGGCCGTACGCTATTCCATTTGGCGTTCAAATGAAGGGGCTGTTATGGGAAACGATATTAGTTTGCGTGGTGTGTTAAAGGCCGCGTCCTGCGTCGGTACCTCCGTAAGAGCTAATTTCACCAAAAGTGGATGTCTCCCTTTCAAGCATGAACAAACAGGGAGCGAACCCAGGCGACTTAAGATCGAAGGGTTTGGGACACATCGGGTCTCACATAGGACTTAAAGCCACATATACCGATGGGGTCCAAAAACGGAGGTAGGCGTTGGTGCTGCATTTGTAAATGGCCAAGCCATTCGGTCACTTTCTTTACCGAAACACGCCTCAGTGTGCACCACCTTGTCCCACTGTACAAGATAATAACGAGCTTGCTGACGCGGCCGCAAAATGGTCAGCGCGCGCACCTTGCGCCTGCTCTCTACCCTTGCCGGCAAGGAACTTTTTCCCTGCCATCACGACATATATGAGGTAGAAGTGGCAACGCTGCTGGGACGCGACTGTGAGCAATAAGTTAAAGGTGATCAAGCCACAGCTGGGTCCATGGCCGTCAAGCTCGCGTCAGTTGAGACGCAAAGAAGTAATTCTCAGCAGGTTACGGATTGGCCACACGCATGTACCGCATAGCTACCTCTGCTGCGTTGAAGAACGGCTTAAATGTCATTGTGATGCGCCACTTACGGTTCGCCACGTTATTTCACTCTTACCCACAGTTCCGCAGAGCAGGCGCCTAGAGCGGAGCGGGCGCTTGGAACGAGACACCTCAGGTCTCACCTTTTCAGACATTAGTGGTGAAGATTCTCGTATGCTCGGCACGGAACAACTGTTCTCATTTTTGACAAGCGTAGGATTGACAGCCATTTCTACACTTTGGTAGCAAGTTAACTGTTATGGACGTAGGATGGCCTCAGAAGTCGGCGCACCCTAAAACCCCAATGATCATTATCATCAACGTAGTTGGACACCTGCTGTCGATCACTACACCCACACTTCGTCTTCTGAGCGCACGCTTCCAACCCAGTGACGACCCCAGAAGGACCTGTACGAAAGCTTGCGCAACAATGCACCATTGACCAGGATAATGTCTCCAATGCATATCCCAGCGCGTGATCCTCCGTCACGCCGCGGGCTCCCCCTCTCCCCCGCTGACCGTGTGCTCCCTTATGTTGACCGTACGCTCCCGTCCGCTGACCGTGAGCTCCTCTCCGCTGACCGTGAGCTCCCTTCCGCTGACCGTGCCCTCCCGTCCCGTGACCGTGAGCTCCCTTCCGCTGACCGTGTGTTCCTGTTCGCTGACCGTGCGGGCCATGTGTTGCAGATGAAGGTCCAGAAGCTGCTGAAGGAGCGTTTCCCGGCGATCGGGGGACCGCAGGCAGGCGAGACGCCGGTGGCGCGGCCGGTGGCCCCTGCCGAGCGGCCCTCGCCGCGCGAGCGCAGCCCCGGCCGGGACCAGAACAGGTCGGTGCCCCCGCTTGCGGACGGCGCTGCTGTGAACGGTGCCTTAGCGTGGGTCGCTAGAGCGTTGGTGATTCGCTAACTGGGCGTTATATCGGATGGAAAAAGTTAAATGCAGTCGATAGAAAGCATGCACGTGGTTTGAATTGTCCACACGCAAAAATGGTGGCACTGAAAATGATCCAGTGGTAAACGCTTGTGGGGACTAACGCTTATTAACGCTGGATAAACGCTTGTAAACGCTAGGTGGGAACATCGAAACAGAAAGTGTTCGATTGGATGGGTGTCGTTTCAACCCATATAAATTGTAGTTTCAGCATTTTTCTTTTTCTGCAGAACATTCATTGTCATGTCGGTTTGTCGGTGTGCGATAGTTTCCCATGTCAGTAGTTATCCCTATGGATTTTTTTGCCAGTCGTCCATCACTCATTTCATTATCTGTGACTGTCTCTTAGTAATAGCGTGTATGTGTGACACTCAGTACGTTTCCGGCACGATGGAATGGAACAGTTTTCCATTTCGATTCTTGTCGATATTTTTATGCTGTCAATAATCTGGGTTCTCCATGATTTCCGCTCTGTTTTTCTGTCGATCGTTTATCATCCGTCGTTTGGTTTTACGGGCGTGTCATGATACCAGTAACAGGGGACCATCCGGGGCGATCTGTAGTCCCTAAAATGTGCCACGCCAATTACAGTTGACCTTTTAGTTCCGTAGCGTGCGTTCAACGTTGTTGCCTATCGGCCTTACCCAGACGAAAGCCTGCGTGGTGTTGTGGGGAATCCGGCTGGCTTCTCTGAGCTGTCTCATCATCGGAGTGTGCGACCCGTGGCGCTTGTGTTCAACACTCACCGCGCCCTCCGCGCGGCCGCATGGGATCGCCCGCGGGCGGGCGGTCGCCTCCGTGGCCGTGGGGGTGGCAGTGGACCGGCCCCACTGACACTATCGCCGTCCGCAGGGCGCCACAGGCACGCGACATCGCCGAGGAGATTGCCATGGAGAAGGAGCGCATCCGACGCGAACGCGACCCGGACGCCGGTGCCCGGGAGGGGCGCGGCGGCAGCCGGGGCCGCGAGCACCAGGACGGCCGCGGCCGCGAGCGGCGCGACAGCCGGAGTCGAGACCGCCACGATGGCAGAAGTCGAGACCATCACGACAATCGGAGTCGAGACCACCACGACAGTCGGAGTCGAGACCACCACGACAGTCGGACTCGAGACCACCACGACAGCAGGAGTCGAGACTACCAGGACAGTCGAAGTCGAGACCACCAGGACAGTCGAAGTCGAGACCATCAGAACAGCAGGAGCCGCGACCAGCAGGAGAGGCCGCGGGACCGCCAGCGAAGCCGGAGCCGCTCCCGGGAGCGCCGACGCCGCCGTAGCCGCGAACGGCCCGGCAGCAACGCCAGGAAGGAGCGCGGCCAGCGGAGCCGGAGCCGGAGCCGCGAGCGGCGCCGCTCCCGCGAGCCGGAGCGGCGGCACCGGGGAGGCCGCAGCGGCAGCCGCGAGCGCCGCCGGTGAGCGGTGGCCGTCGGCTCCGCCCGCCATGGGCGCAGGAGAGCGACGGTGCGGACAACGCGGGTCACGACAGCGGTCCGCGTGGCCGTCGGCTCCGCCCGCCATGGGCGCAGGAGAGCGACGGTGCGGACAGCGCGGGTCACGACAGCGGTCCGCTAGGCCGTCGGCTCCGCTCGACATGGGCGCAGGAGAGCGACGGTGCGGACAGCGCGGGTCACGACAGCGGTCCGCCTGGCCGTCGGCTCCGCTCGACATGGGCGCAGGAGAGCGACGGTGCGGACAGCGCGGGTCACGACAGCGGTCCGCTAGGCCGTCGGCTCCGCTCGACATGGGCGCAGGAGAGCGACGGTGCGGACAGCGCGGGTCACGACAGCGGTCCGCCTGGCCGTCGGCTCCGCTCGACATGGGCGCAGGAGAGCGACGGTGCGGACAGCGCGGGTCACGACAGCGGTCCGCGTGGCCGTCGGCGGCAGCGCGCCGTGGTAGCAGTGCCGAGTGGCGGGCCTACGCACGGGACAATCACCCCCGGACCGGGGACATCTGAGCGCCACACGACCTGGGGCGTCCCGGCGAGGTCGGGGCCGTTCGCGCGGGTTCGAGTGCGGCCTCGCGCCGACCGCGCCCGCTCGCCGCAGCCATGTTGTGCGTGCGGACTGGGCCGACCGCGCCTCGGACGCGATGGTGCGTCCGCGGCTCGCGGCCGTGATCTCACCGCTAGTGGGACGTACAAAACCGCTTGGTGGCGCGCGAGCCAGTGATCGGGGCGTCCAGTGGCGGTGCGGCCGGCCTCGCCCCACGGCCGATGTCAGGTCGTGACCTGTCCTCATGCCACGTGGTGTCGTGACCGGCATGGTGGCGGATGATCGGTTTTATATGGCGCGTGCAGCGCGGGCTCTGTTGCCGTTGTGTTGCTTTAGCCTGTTCACGCGCCCGACAGATCGGTACGTTCCAGTGCTGGGTGAGGACTCGCCATCCGAATGTACGCGAAGATGTGGATTGACCATACACCTAAGATCGGCACAATGTCGTTTGTGGTCCGGCACGAAGTGGCCGGCCCGCCGGCCGATGCTACGGAGGATAGGAAGGTGATGTAGACAGGAATAGTCGGCTCTTCATTGCTAGAAGTATTACATCGTCTCAGTACTGCAACAAGAGTTATTGCTCCATCTTGAAAACGACACCTGCGATATCACTCCCCCCCCCCACGAACAGCGTAGAGCGCAACATGCTGTACCAAGCCCGAGTCCCTACATCGGAGCAAGTGTCATCAAGCGCTCTGAGCTGCCAACTGAATTCAGCACGTTAATCCCACATGGATGAAGATCGAGTGCGGGCACTTGGCGACGCGCGGTCTCCGGGGGCGCATCTCGCTCATGATGTAAGGGCGGCAGGCGTCTCTAAGTTGTAAGCTCCGCTGTGGATGTATCTGTATGATACGCGGTTTTATGGGTCAGCAGGTCTGCTCGAGCTGCAGAGACATTCCGGACGGAGACACGACTCGCGCCACCAGAATGGAACCCTCGTGGATGTGTAAAGCCTATGTGCGTGGAGTGAAGTCGATATGCCAATCGCCAGACAGACAGATCTCTTTCTGTATGATTAGTTTCCCCATAACCACACGCTACCGCGATTAGGTACAAACAGCGGGCTGGCAACTGCCAGCGTGGCAAACGAGCGCTTGGAGGTTGCGTTGCACGCTGCTGTGCTCGCTGGCAAATGTCCGCGAGTCAGGTCGAGTCGACAGAGGTAATGAATCACTCGCATCTATTCGTTGCTACGGCGGCTGCAGTTGGGTGACGTGCTGTTGACATGTTCGGCGCGCGCAGCGGCCAGACCCGCGGCGTCACGCCTCGCCCGAAAACCAGAGCCCAGGTCAGCTTGGCACGAGCGCAACACGGCACATCCACAACAACGGCTAGTCTCGGCAGGGAGCGGGGCGCAGTCGGCGCAGAGCCAACATCAGCTCGGCACGAGCACAACACGCCACATCCACAACAACGGCTAGTCTCGGCAGGGAGCGGGGCGCAGTCGGCCCAGGTCTCCTATCACAATGAGGTCAAGCACGCGGCACACACGCCCGCACCAGTTCCAATACCGGTCGAGCGATCGAGGCTGCGCGCCCGCGGCGGGCCCGGCCGAGCCGCAGCGCTCCCCTGAGATGGCAGACGGGCCGCACCGCCAGCCGACGCCGCCGCCGACCGCACTGGCGCCGGTTTGACCAGCACGGCGACGGCCGCCGGCGCGGACGCGCCTCGCAATACAGCGACGCCGGTCGTCCGGCGGCCAGGCGGCTACACGCCGGCGATGAAGGACGGCGTCTTGTACATCTCGTAGGCAAACTCCTCGTCGTGCTTGGGGTCCATCTCGAGCCCGATGTAGTCGATCTCCAGCTGGAAAGGGCCGCTCACGCCGGCGGCCGTGATGCCGATGCTGGTGATCCGGTCCTGCATCAGTGGGCACTGCTTGTCCTGGATTCGTCCCTTGCTCGACAGGAAAAACTTGGAGAACGGGATCTGCGGCGAGGCGCGGACGGTGAGCGGCGCGCTGCAGACTGCGCTTCCGGTGGATACCGGCAGCGGCTCCGGGCGTGGCAGTCGGGAAGTACACCGAAATGACTGTGGAATGTTGGCAACGCTTGTCAACACAATGGGGCTTGACGGGGCAGCTGACCACAACAGTCGCAAGCATATCAGCAGCCTGAGTTGTTTTTTTACCCGGTTTGGACAGTGCTATCACCACGACTACGCTTCACGGACGGGACGAGGCGACACCACGCACAGGCAGCGGCCGTCCGTGCGGCCCAACACGTCACAGGGTGAGACGCAGCTGCGAGTCGCGCGCTGGCGGCCTGCTCACGCGGTTCGGGACGGCGCAAGGCGACACCCACCCGAGACACCTGCCAGTACGGCCCGCCGCGCGTGTACAGCGGGAACGAGTACATGTCGTTCCACATGAGGTCGAAGTAGCCCATGGAGGCCAGGTTCAGCATGTAGGAGCGCCCGTCACCACGCACGCGCAGTACCACGTGCGTGTACGCCGACCAGTCGAAGAAGCCGTCCCGCTTGAAAGACTTCTGGAAAGTGGAAACGCGAGTTTTCAACGCGCTGTGTAGTGCGGTCCACCTGCTGGACGTGGTTGGCACCTCTGGAACGCCTCCAGTGACGTGTAGAGGATGCCTGATGACGAGCGATGTCTGTCCCCAGATGTCTGGCGCATATCGTGAGCACTGAATACAAAGGAGCAGTGGGCCAGGCCAAGTGCATTTGCAAGCTTGGGTATTCCCTGACATGTTTCAAGGAATTTAAGTAAAAGATATAAAATATTATAAAATAAGTGCCAAAGTTGTGCTTTTGCAACACAAATACCAGACTTCAGCACAGCACAGCACAGCACTGCTCGTTCCAAAACAATTCGTCAAGGTCTCTGGTCACTCCTGTCCGTGCCAGCCCCGGCGCATCTCACGCATACAACGCCACTGCGCAACGCCCTCCAGCGTTGTCATCGCGACAACGGCCGCATGGCCCGACCGCACTCCTAGCCAACCCTAACGGCATCGACACCCGTCCCGCGCGGCGGCCGCAGCCCGGCGCGTCGGCCCCGTGCGGGGCCGCGCCGGTCCCGTGAGGGGGCGCCGACGGACCTGCGGTCGCAGACAGCGCATGTTGCAGTAGCCGGCGCGCTGCTTGCTGCCGTCCTTCGGCGGGGTCGTGTCGAGCGTGCCGCGCAGCACGGCCTTGCCGTGTCGGCCGAGCACCAGTTCGCCCTGGCTCTGGCCGTCGCTGTTGTCGCGGTCGGCCGTGACGATCCAGCGCTCCAGCGCCGCCTCGCTGTTCAGCTGGAACACCGTGTCCACCTCGCCTGCCGGCAGCACACGCGAGAGCGTGAAGCGAGAGGACCGCGGTGGCGCCAGTACGGCCCGCCAGCCGGCTGTGCTCGCCGGCGCCGCTGGAAACGTGTCGCTGCCGGCGCGCTCCCGGCTTGGTAGGTTAGGCGCAGCTGTTCAGCGTTGTCGAGGCTGTGGTAACCGGGCGAGTCACGCGTCACGCTGCCTGTACACGGACGGTCATGATCACTGCCACGCGTTGTGCGGACGCACACCCACCTGGTCGCACGAGAAAGAGGGGCTCCTTGGTGAATTTGTTCCAGAATTCGTCTTTCCACACACCCACTTCATGTTTCAGTTCTTTCAATCCATCAACTACCATCTGTTTGTCAGGAAGTGTCTTCCTCTCCCTTCCATATTCTGCTTTGATATCTCTCTCCCAGAATTTAAAAACTGGCACAGTCGTCCTCAGTTGCCTGACGAGCATTTCCTGGCAACCCGTGAATACAAGACTGCATAGCTTTCGGCCAGCAGCGGCACGTTTCCCTAGAAGACTCATGTCTGCAGAGCTACAGTGGGCATAGGGATGAACAGAAGACCCTGAAAAACAAAGAATCATTTGATGTGCAGTGCAAGCAGTACAGAGATGGAGGCAACAAACATTTCTGACAATATACAGAAAATTTGCATTGCAACATGATATAAAAATCATATTTTGAATAACAATATTGAGCTAATCATATACCCACCCACAAAACAGACAACATAAACATACTTCCGTGATATATTGCCCATATCACCACAATGAATGCCAAAGAATCTTATGCTTTGTAATTGATGTCTTAAAATGTCAAGCTAGTTGTGAACTGGCCCCAAAAGCAACAAACAGATAGTGTATAGTAAATTACCAGCACCAAAACCAAGACGTTTACATGTTCCATGGCAACTGACAGCACGTCAAGCATACAGACAAGAAATTGTCAACTCCACTCCAGCCCTTAGGCATTATTTCTTCATTCATATGAAGAAAACTTTCACCTCTGTACCCTGTAGGGAGATGATGGGCATGTGATCTAGGTTCACGGGGTATGATTCCCAGAGCAGGCACATTGACTGGCCACACTGGCATGGCAAAATCTGCTGGTAACTGGCTGGGTAGCCATGTCATGGTACTGTATGGCATGACAAACATGCTGCTGCTCTCCCTCATAATAACCCTCAAGATAGGCACCTGACGAAGGTATTACTGGGGTTGGGGCTCCAGGGCAGATGTGTGCCTGATTCCAAAGGGTAGATGAAGGATGCTGTAGGGTTCCAGGTTAATGAGATCCCCGGATTGGACTCTCAGTTTCTTTGGGGTTTCAGGCACAAGCACCAGACAGGCCAGCACTGTCTGGTTCAGGGTGCATGCAACTAGCTTCGCTTGGTATTTTCTCTGGACAAAACAACTCACTCAAGATTTGTTCTATATTGTGTATCACAGCCGATACAGTCAGTCATACCATGTAAAACCCAGAACATGCAGGGCTCAGCACAGGTGTTGATTTGTATTCTTTTGTGAGGGCCCTGGCCCCCCGATGTTGAGTTGGGCCTGGCCAATCTTGGCTTGCCCCCCCCCCCCAAATCTTTTTAGCTGGAATACCACAGAAATGTGGGTAAAAGATTATCACAACACAACTATTGTCTTTAATCTTTCTGCATAGTGACATCTCATACCACTCATAACAAAGTCATTCTTGCTCTTAGCACAAGATACAAATCGCAACAGCTGAGCAGATAAACGACGCAAACAAACTTCACACACCTGGCACCATAAAACACTGATTTTTAAATAAATTTATTCTGGATGGCTTGCATGGGTGACTTCAGGCTCAGAGTATCCGCCAAGCATAGCTTATTGCGTGTACCCCGAACCCACCACCCAAGTCGTGCAGTCCAGTTCAACGGATAGTTCTGCCTCCGCCCTTTTGCCAGACAGGACTGCGGAGGTCTTTACGTGCCGCACAATGCTGCGGCACGGCCGCCCCGGGCCTGGGTTGACCCTTGTTGGCCAGTTGCCAGCTGGCCTTTCCATGTCAGTCGGGTCAAACAATGCGCCCACTGTGGGACTCGTACCCAGTGCCGCTGGATTAAGAGCCCAGCATCTTTCCCCTAGACCACGGAGGCGACATTGGTTTGTGAAGTTAAAGAAGGCAGATTGGTTTGTGAAGTTTAAGTGCTCTGGCTGGAAGCTCTGAAATATGGGGATGACTTAAGTCCTTCATGGATGAACCTGCTCCATCCTCCCAACCAAATTGCATGTGGCCATCACTGGAGAGCACCATCGCGACCCTAATGTGGCATCAAAAAGGGTGTTTTCACATGCCAACCAGAAAGAGCATGCAGCCAGTGCCTGTTCCCTGGATCAAACCCTGCATGACTTCCATACTGCTTAAACCAAAGACTTAACTGTATTGGCTTTGCTACATGACTTCTATGTTGCTTAAATCAAAGACTATACTACTTAAATTAAAGTGGGATAATTAAATTAAATTAAAGTAAATTAAAATTTTCAAAAAAATTAAATTAAATTAAAGTGGCATGGGCTAAATTTGGTGAGGCAAAATGGACAGTATGTTGGCAAGCCTTTGGTTTGGCCCCACAATGATTTACAAAAATTGACACCCCTAGGGCTTAGTACCTGCAACACAAACATTTCATGTCTGAAAAGGAGAAAGAAGTTGAGCACAAACCAGGAGCATCATCACACTGGGATTGTGCATGGAGATGACTACCTTATCTAGCACCAACCTGGTTCTCTAAAGGGCCAAAATGGCTGTTTGGGGACCAAGCCATTAGAATAATAGGATTTTATAGTGCATGTTGCAGGTTGCTTACTGCATTTTACCATGTAGTGCATCAGTGCAAGCAAGTATAGCAGTCATGTTAATATATAGCCACAAAAAAACACTGCTCAAAAGTCCAATATATGGGGCACCAAAGTCCAAGGTTTTATAAAGCCCCATCCCTTGATGCTGGCCAACTAATGTCATTCACAAAGTTATCTATGAAAACTATGTTAATTTGCCCGCTAAAGACGTGAGTTAGGGATTTGCATTCTGTTTGCCTGCTTTTAACGAATCAATGTACCAGACTCTTGAAAAATACGTATGCATATTTTCATAATGCTGTGTATGGCTCCCATGCCATGTTGTTGACTTTCTTTAACCAGCACACCCACCTACTGCAGCTAGACTTTTCCTTTAGAATGGTCAAAATGATATTGAGGGACCACTCACACTAGTAAAACCACTCTTTATTGCTTTAGCCCCGGCTTTTTATTTGGGCATCACTTTTTACTTTTCATCCGCTTTTGATGTCTCAGGTTACCACTTTAACACACTTCAGTACCTTTACAAATGAACAAAACTGCAAAATAGTATTTACACATTCACCCTCAGGGATCATCCACCATCACCAGGGGGAGGGGGACCACAATCTCCACTTCGAGTAAGCAGCTGGCGAGTCCTCGGAGCAGGCAAGATTCCGTCGTAGCACGTTCCACTCGGTGTTGTGGTTTCTCAGAAATCTAACAGTCCGACAATATATTTACGACAAAGCGACTGAAAATCGACAGATCAGTTACATTTTTATGCCAAAATGCGAGCGCCCATCCCAACCAAACAGCAGAATTGATCCCGATTGGAACACAGCCGTGGGTTACCGGGCTGCGTTGTTTAGTACATGTGCGTACTAAACTCCACTGGTTCTAGTACGAATCTGTACTAAGTACTGTTCCCCTCTTGGTAAGGATTCTGTTCTAGGGCCTTGGGTGAGGATTCGGACTAAATGTTGTCAAGGATGTGTTGCGTAACCCCGAATATGGACCTGAATCTGAACGTGAATGCCAAATTGACCAACGTGTAAATTTCGCCGAGGCGCGGTGCGCGGATAGAGCTGCGCCCGCTCCACTCAAGGCGCTGCATTGATGTTGAGAGGTATACCGTTGTGCGATACACACGGTGAAGGGTGCACTATTCTTTATTTATCCCAGCTCTCTTAGGGTCAAGAATATGGGTATGCAAGTCACTCACAGAGTCTGCATGTATAGGCGAGCTTGTAGCACATTACACACATTACATACATATAATGTACTCCACCCGAGGTTCGTCGTGCTGACACTCATTCCAAAATAGGCAGGCCTATGCTTGTGGGCAAGTTTATACTCTGACTGCTATAATTTGTGTACCCTGCCACCAGTAACAAAACTAAATTTTCCACTGGAGTGAGCATAGACCTACATAGATCATCTTTGATCCAAAATAATTTGATCATCTGCTCTTCTTATTCTTCCTCTTCATGGATCTTGTATCAATACATGCTACTGGTGTGTTAGGAGTCAGAAAGTATGCATGCATCTGCATACTAGGACTTGCTGCATATCTTATCACTTTGCTAATATCTACTAACAGCTTATGTTGGTGCAGATGTGCCATAATAGAGAATTTATTAAATATGATAATATTTCTAAGATTATGTTGCACTGTATTTCACAAGGCTGGATTCCAATATATGCAACATTTTTAGACAACCTTGAAGGGGAATGTCAAGCTGCATGTTGTTGCACTGTAATTTTTGTCTGTGTGATTGGCAGAAAAAGCTTATTCTGTATCGTGCCTGCCATCAAATTCAGAAAACAATTTATTCATTCAGATTGCTATTGTGATTCAGCATTTTTGTCTTTTTTGTTGGCAGGGTGCAGCCTGATTTAGTCAATTTTTTGTGCACCAAATAGCATGAACAATATGTAATTGTTTGTCAGACAATATCCCTGATGGTATAAGTCATTTTATGGAGCCAACTGTGTGATGCTACGCATGTGTGATGTGCTGGATGTTCTGACTGCTTTGATGCTAGTAAATACATTATTAAAATTTTGTTACTTACCTTGAGTCAAAGATTCCACTTTGCCAAGATGATGTTAAAATTATTCAAGAGCGCACTTGGTGCAGGGTAGGGTGACCATTGAAATTTACTGATCTTAGAGCATGTCCTGCATGAGTTCTCACTTTGTTTCCTAGCTGTTGCCCATATGTGCATCTACAAATGACATCTTTGAAGGAAATCTAACTGCTTTTCATCTTTTTTCACACATTGCAGCTAGCTTGTAGATGGCGATGCAGAACGCTTATGCTCTTCAGTGGACATTGGGCAGCAGCTGCCGAGCTTGGCGGCAGTGGCGCCACCTATCGATGCAGGTGGCGCCACCTGTCAGTGAAGCGCTCAGGGCCCGCAATGCAGTGGTAGCCCTCGAATCTACCATCATCACGCACGGTATGCCGTACCCGCAAAATCTGGAGACCGCTCAGAAGGTGGAGGAGATCGTGAGGCAACAGGTAATGGCGTCATTTCGGGTTAACTGTGTTAAGCGCCAAGGCCACGGACGCTTGCTTCATTTTCAATCAATGCAGCATGAGAAGATCCATCAGGCTGTTGAATGTATGCAAGTAAAGCTAGACATTGTGCGTTTTTATTATTTATATTTAAGTGTCTCCGCAGTGCAGACCCCGTCGTCAGCCGTGTCCGTCTTTTGACTGATGACTGGTCGCCAGGGTGCCGTACCGGCCACGGTCGGTGTCGTGTCCGTCCTCTGACTGATGACTGGTTGCCAGGGTGCCGTACGGGCCACGGTCGGTGTCGTGTCCGTCCTCTGACTGATGACTGGTCGCCAGGGTGCCGTACCGGCCACGGTCGGTGTCGTGTCCGTCCTCTGACTGATGACTGGTCGCCAGAGTGCCGTACGGGCCACGGTCGGTGTCGTGTCCGTCCTCTGACTGATGACTGGCCGCCAGGGTGCCGTACCGGCCACGGTCTGTGTTGTGTCCGTCCTCTGACTGATGACTGGTCGCCAGGGTGCCGTACCGGCCACGGTCGGTGTCGTGGACGGCCGGCTGCACGTGGGTCTGAGCCGCGCCCAGATGGAGCGGCTGGCGCGCCGTGACCGGCCGTCCGTCAAGACATCGCGTCGCGACCTCGCCTGCGTCATGGCCAAGGTCAGCCGCTGAGGCCGGGCGGCCCCCGGCGCTGACCAACCGGCCCCGGTGGCTGCTGAGCATTGAATGGTCCAGCTGTAGCGGTGTTAGTGAAGCGTACCAAGCAGGAGATGCATGCCGAAACTGGCCTCGAAGGATTAGAAACGGGCTAAACACGCATTTAGTAGGCGTCAAGCGCAGAGGTGCGGGCTTGCCGCGGAATCGTTTGGCTGAGAAAAGATATTGGGAACATCACCAGCGTTAGTCAAGTCATTAAGTAGCGGCCGTGTTCTGTCGGCTTTTCCGTGGGTCTCCTGGAAGAGCTATAACGGCGGTACCTGTTCCCTGGTGGAGGCGGTCCGGGTCACGTGTCCGAACCGGTGACTCCCGCACCGCCACCAGGGCTGGGACGGCGGCACCACGGTGTCCGGCACGCTGGTGGCCGCGGCCCGGGCCGGTATAGCCGTGTTCGTGACGGGCGGCGTGGGCGGCGTGCACCGCGGCGGTCAGCTGACCATGGACGTCTCGGCGGACGTGACCGACCTGGGCCGCTCCCCCGTCTGCTGCGTCTGCGCCGGGGTCAAGAGTATCCTGGACGTGGGCAGGACGCTGGAGGCGCTGGAGACGCAGGGTAGGCGTGGCGACCACGTGCCGCTCGTCATTCTCCTCCGTTTGTGCGACGAAATGTGCTGATGATGTCTATCCGTTCCTGCGTGTCTTGCGCCTTGCGTTTTGCGTAGCTCGATCTCGCAGCGATGTTTGCTACTTTGGAAGTAACCTCTCCCTGGCGTATGAGCCGGTGGTGCGTACTGCCCTGCCGGCGGTGTGTGAACCACCCCTGTTGGTGCCGGCAGGGGTGGCTGTCGTTACGCTCGGCCCCAGTGACCGGTTCCCGGCGTTCTTCACGGCCGACTCCGGCCACCGGTCGCCGCATCACGTGGCCAGCTGTGCCGAGGCCGCCGCCGTACTGCACCAGCACCGGCAGCTGCAGCTGGAGAGCGGCCTGCTGCTGGCCGTGCCCATACCAGACCGGCACCGGGCCGAGGGGGAACAGTGAGTGTCCCTACCGGACAGGCACCGGGCCGAGTTGGAACGATGAGTGCCCATACAAGCTCTACAGCAGACCTAAGCAGAACAGTGGGCGACGACAGAGCACAGGGGGCCGGAGGGAGCTTTGTGTCTTACTGGTGCTGGGTGCCGAACGACTGAAGGCAGCTGACGTCTGGAGGCTGCAGCCGGCTGCCGACACAGTTACAGCTCGCTCAAATAGCAAGTTTTCTCAATAATTGCATCTCAATCAATCACTGTGGCTGGCCATTAAGGGTGGAGAGTGTTATGAGCCCGTAATACATGCTGGATGGTGGTCTACGCCTGGCCCCAGTCGACCGGTGTGCCTCCCGTGCGGTGACTGGGCGATGGCGTCAGCTGACGCCTTGTGGGTGGGATTCAGGCAGGCAGGCCGGCTGCCAGCGAGGGGCGGCCGTGTAACTGTTACCCTGCGTGTGTGTGGGGGGGGGGGGGGGGGGCTGAAGACACCGCAGCTACGCCACTAACCCCAGGCCCGATCGGCAGGATCGAGGAGGCCATACAGCGAGCCGTGCAGGAGGCCAACGAGCAGGGCGTCTCGGGCCGTGACGTCACGCCGTTCATCCTGTCACGTGTCAACCAGCTGACGGCCGGGGCCAGTCTGCGAGCCAGTATCCTTTGGCCGGCGGCTGGGAGCGGTGGTGCGCAGCCGACCCCGCCCCTCTCCGCGGCTGGGGGGAGGTGTGCACGGCGGGTCAGTTGAGCCGAGTGTTGGGCTGTTCAGTCACTTTGGTCATTGGTGCCGTTAGGTCAACAAATCGACGATGACACATGCGCGAAGGTTTTACGTTAAGGTTCATGCCGGGTAGCTGCTTGCTTTTGGAAGGGTCGCTCATGCAGTTAATTGTATGCGCAGCACCTTAATTATTCGCTGTACACTCACAATCCGACAGTTGTTATTGCGGGATGCGTAAGCGTAGGTAAATGTCCCTTAAATCAAGAGAGTCACATTGGCGATCCGGAGCACGTGGTACAGTCCGTCAGGCGCGGAGAGTCGGCGAGCTGTCATCTCTGAGTCTCACCCTGGCGATCCGGAGCACGTGGTACAGTCCGTCAGGCGCGGATGGTCGGCGAGCTGTCATCTCTGGTGCTGCATCCCGGGCTGGACCACCGAGGTGGTGCTCCACATGTGTGCTCCCTGGCGTGATCAGTTGACATCTGAACGGACGGCGCGACTTTGGGAGTGGTGGATCGGTCCGGGTCTGGCACGAAGCCTCGGCAGTGTACAACCGAGCACCGCGCTGTACAACCGAGCCCCCTGGATACCCTCACACCCAAACCGGACCGAGCCCTAGCTGCCACCGTTAGTTTCCTCAGCGCCGCCAGATATCGGGCTGGTGGAGAACAACGCGCTGCATGGCGCCCGGGTGGCCGTGGAGCTGGCGGAGCTGGTCCGGGGCAGGTGAGCTGGGCTCGCGTCTCCCCGTCACCGCCGGCTGGGGGACAGCCGGTCCTCTGCTGGTGCACGCCACGCGCCGAACGCCACTGCTTAGTCGGGCATCGTGGGAGATGGCTCGAGTTTGGCAAAGGACGGTCACATTTTATATTTTTCGAAGACGTACGGTTGCGTGCCATATATCTAACGTAACCTTGTCTCCTTGCTGTTGTCGCTGATATTTGGAATAAGGAATAAGTCATGGGTGCCGTATGGTCAGGTCAGTCGGCCCGCCCTAAAGCCCACATCGTCCTCACCGTGTCGGCGGACCCAGCTGCGGCGGTCGTGTTCCAGCGGCGGCCGGGGGGCCGTCCCGGAGCCGGCGACAGCAGCCGGCGCGTCACCGCTGTGGTCCGGCGGCCTCCCCGCAGAGGCAGCCGACGGGTCCCAGCTGCCGGCGGCCGGCGGCCCGCCACCCGTAGGTGAACAGTTCGCCGGTGTGGTGCCGGAGTCTCGGTCAGCTTATGCTTGCCCTGATGCCGGTTGGGATCGCTCACGACCATCGACCTCGCGCGAAAACGGAAGTCCTGGCGAAAGCCACAGGACTAAAGGCGCAGAATGTGCTGGGGTATGATGCGATTTGTTACGTTTTTTGCCCTTTGTATCCAAAGCGTTTGGGTTGTTCCATGAGACCGATCATTTCTTGTGTTTGGGGAATCTACGTTGTTATTCTCATGCAGTAGCCCTTTTTGTACGGGATGCATGAAGGTAATCTTCCGCGCGAGTTCCTTGAATGGAATGCATGTTGGTATGTGCATCTAGTATTCTGGCGTAATGACAACGACGAATTATCTTTTCGCAGACTGTGATCGGTGGAAGTGTTATTGATTTTGTCGTCAAGGTATCGGAAGACAAGATTAAGGTAAGCCTGCAATGATAACAGTATATGTATTTCAAATATCAAACAATGCTTTGCTATGTGTATACGGCAAATGTTTTGGTGGTGGGAATCCGTAAATATTTGTCAGAAGAATAAAACTCACGGAGAGCTGTCTATTCTGAACCTCACCTGAGTTGTTCCCGGTCATGAGTCAGGTCTGGCGTTAAAGAATACCTAATGTGTATTGAAGCTACGCCAGGTTTACCTTTGTGTAGGGTGTGTCATGGTTGCGGTTGATTACAATGATTGTCCACGGCTGTTAGAGAAAGGTGGTGGTTTTGAACCTTGCAAAGCTCTAGTATTTCGTCATCTCGTGCGGTGAGCGGCGCACGAGGTGTCCACACAAATACACCGAAATTTTCCGCGTTGACAAGAAGCCAACAATTGTTAGTCAATGATAGCGAAATGTTACACAATGCCGTGGGCTGTTAGAGGAAGGTCATGGGTTCGAACCTTGCACAGCTCTAGTATTCCGTCATTCCTCGCGGTGAGCGGCGCGTGAGATGTCCACACCAGGAAGCCGAAAAAAATTTCCTCGTTGACAGAAAGCCAACGATTGTTATTCGATGATAGCGAAATGTTACACATTGCCGTAAAACGCCATCTCCTGTTTTGCGCTTTCGAACCCACGCGGTGCTGGCGTTCGATGAACCTCGTAGTGTCTGTCGCGGACCTCTGCATCGAAGCCAGCTCGGCACCAGCGCAACGAACGTACTTGCGGACGATGCCATACATCTAATTGTATCGCATGCATCGGGTGTAATTTTCTATTCAGTTGCAGGGTTCCAACCTCCACCACATCTTTAGCTAGTATATGGATCAAGTTCAGGAAAATGCCGTTTTTTGTTTTTTTTTTGGTCTTAGGCTTAGCCATTTTTCCTCGCTAAATCCCCAAACTAATTTTGTGAAACCATACCCCGCGCGGCTGTCTTCCCAGCAATATCTCGGCTCCCAACTCAACGCCGTTAACATCTCGCAACAAACCACATGTGTGGGCGTGTGGTATACCATCGTACAGTATTCATACGTGCTGTATTCCTGCATTGTCCTTCGTTTGACGGACCTCGAGTCCGCCTGCTCTTAATGCTGCTTCGTAGGCGGGCCGTGACCGTGCTCCCCACCTCACCAGTGATCCGTCGGCGGGCCGTGACCGTGCTCCCCACCTCACCAATGATCCGTCGGCGGGCCGTGACCGTGCTCCCCACCTCACCAATGATCCGTCGGCGGGCCGTGACCGTGCTCCCCACCTCACCAATGATCCGTCGGCGGGCCGTGACCGTGCCCTCCACCTCACCAATGATCCGTCGGCGGGCCGTGACCGTGCTCCCCACCTCACCAATGATCCGTCGGCGGGCCGTGACCGTACCCTCCACCTCACCAATGATCCGTCGGCGGGCCGTGACCGTGCGCCCCACCTCACCAATGATCCGTCGGCGGGCCGTGACCGTACCCTCCACCTCACCAATGATCCGTCGGCGGGCCGTGACCGTGCTCCCCACCTCACCATTGGTCCGTCGGCGGGCCGTGACCGTGCTCCCCACCTGACCAGTGATCCGTCGGGGGGGGGGGCGTGGCCGTGCCCTCCACCTCACCAAGGATCCGTCGGGGGGGGGGGGGGGGGGCGTGGCCGTGCCCTCCACCTCACCAATGATCCGTCGGCGGGCTCTGACCGTGCTCCCCACCTGACCAGTGATCCGTCGGGGGGGGGGGGGGGCGTGGCCGTGCCCTCCACCTCACCAATGATCCGTCGGGGGGGGGGGGGGGCGTGGCCGTGCCCTCCACCTCACCAATGATCCGTCGGCGGGCTCTGACCGTGCTCCCCACCTGACCAACGATCCGTGGGCGGGCCGTGACCGTGCTCCCCACCTCACCAATGATCCGTCGGGGGGGGGGGGGGGGGGGGCGTGACCGTGCTCCCCACCTGACCAATGATCCGTCGGCGGGCCGTGACCGTACTCCCCACGTGACCAATGATCCGTCGGCGGGCCGTGACCGTGTTCCCCACGTTCCAGCTGGACGGCTCTACGCACCGCGGTCGGATAATGCAGCGCTACGGCGGCGTGGCGCGGAATGTGGCTGACGCGCTGTCGCGGCTGGGCCACCGGCCCCACTTCTTGTCGGCTGTGGGGCGGGACGAGCTGGGCGAGTCACTGCTCACCAACAACCCGCACATGGTGAGCACCGACCCTTCTAAGTGACCCCTACATGGTGAGCACGAACCCGCACAGGGTGAGCACGGACAAGACGGGAGTAAGACATGGCGGCTGGGAGTGGTGTGCGTGTGAGCTGGCAGCAGGTGCTGTTGTTGGCGCTCCGCCTTCGTTGGGCTGTGTTGACGGCTGTTATAGCCGTCCACGTACGTCCCATGTAATGAACCGTTAGCACAACTACTGCCACTGGTGGAAAACGGGACCAGTGCAAGCTGCCTGGTGCAGGAACTTAAACCCAGGGCTCTTAACCATGAACTCAACACTCCAAACCACTTGACCCCTCGCCCTCCACCTTCCTCCCGCGTTGGCGCCGCGGCCGTGCCTGCCGGTGTTTCCCACAGCCGTGTGACTGAGCCGGCGCGTGGTGTCCAGGACTGGCGCTGCGTTTCGCGGCCGGACGGCCGGTCCACTGCGAGCTACGTGCTGATGGTGGACGCGGCGGGCACCGTCCAGTTCGGCGTCGGCGACATGGACATGCACAGCCTCATCACGCCCCAGCTGGTACGGCCGGCCGGCACCGAAGCCAGCGCGGTCGCGTCTGGTGCTCGGGGCGTCGGGAGATGGCGTCACAGTCACGAGCACTGCCGGCGGCGACATCTGTAACGACGACGGCCGTGGAAGGCGTCACAATCTGACGCCTTCTACGACCGTCGCTGGACATGTCATGTCCAGCATCTTTTTCACCATAAAAGTGTTGTTAGCTCCATAGTTTCAACTGGTATGGATGTGGGAGGCGCTGGGTTTCGTTGGTCTGCCCAGTGCCCAATTATTATAACGCTAGCCCTTGCGTCGTGCCATCCTCTTGCTCTGACAACTTCTGACGCACGTAAGCTCTTCTTGCCGTCGCTAGAAGCTATGGCTCATTGAGTGAGTGCCGAGCGCCATCGCTGATGGTAGCTTTCATTGTGCCAGGGATGTTGTGGAATGTGGCATCCACTGGTGTATTCGTCACGTGGAGCGGCACCAGCCCCGGACGCGTGCATGGTGTTGACTGGTGGCCGTGGCCAGGTGGAGCGGCACCAGTCGGCCCTGGTCGCCAGCCCTCTGGTGGTGCTGGACGCCAACACGCCGGCGGCCAGCCAGGCGGCGGCGGCGAGGCTGTGCTCGTCGGCCGGCGTGCCGCTCTGGCTCGAGCCGACCGATGTGCACAAGGCGGGCGAGGCGGCGGCCGTGCTGACGGCCGGGCCGCGGCCGCCGCTGCTCTACACCTCGCCCAACGCCGTCGAGCTGCGCGCCATCCTCGCCGCTCTCACCGACGGTGAGCGGAGGGACCCGGAGCGGTCGCCGCCGCCACTCCTGTGGAGGGATGGGGCTCTGGCAGCCTGTCAGGCGGGTCAGCGGCGTTCTAAGGAGGTTTTCCTGTCGAGATGTTGCTGGTGCCCGGCGTTTGCGTGGTGTATGGCGTCGCTGCCGAGCCAGGAAACACACGATGCCCGGTCCGTGCCGCTGGCGGTGAAGGAATGGCGTGGAGTTTTCGTGATGGAGGGGAGGGATGCCTAATAGTATGTCCGGGATAGTTGCGTTGCACACTACATACGTGAGAGATGATGTACACGATTGAAACTGAAGCTATGCCATTAGGTGTTTGATTCACCACGTCGTTTCATTGGAGTTACGCAATCTGATTTCGCCTCCTGCACTCTGGCGGCTTGTCCATGGTGTACGCTGCTGGCGCCTCGTACAGAGGCAGCCGCCAGTTTGCCTGCTGTGACGTGCGCCTTCCAGAGGCGCCGGCCGACTTCCGCCAGCTGACCGGTGGCCGGCTGCTGGAGGCGTGCCGGAACGCCAGTCTGCGGCTGCTCGAGCACTTCTACTGCGTCATCGTCACCATGGGGACCAACGGCGTCATGGTGAGGCGACCTGCGCGGGGCTGTTTACAGCGGATGTGCTGGTGCATTGTAGGCGCCCGCCTTGCGTTGGCAGTGCGCTGGTGAGAATCTGATGCAGGGTACGGCACCATGTTTTCCTGGACGTCCCCAGTGTGAAGCTTCCCAGTCGTTTGGGTGTCAGCGTGTCAAAATCCTTGAGCTATGAACGTGGGGATGTCTTCGTCAATTCTTCGTCGGGGACAAAAATCGGCGGAAAATTATTCATGCTGTGAGACATCATTAGAGAGGATCGCACAAATCACCAGTGCCAAAACTGAGAACCCAAATTTTCCGTAAAAAGACCGCTGTGACCTTCTTGTGTGTCTGTGACCAGGTGAGCCGACGGGGCGGCCGCGGGGACCGGCTGCCGCTGGGCCCGCTGCCGCCGCAGCCGCAGCCGCAGCCGCCGCCGCAGCGGGGCACGCCGGCTGTCTCGTGCGTCCACTACCCGGTCACGCCAGTACCACACGTGGTCAACGAGAGCGGCGCCGGGGACTGGTGAGTGGCACCTCTACAGCTGGCACCGTCGGGGCCGGGTGGAGTCGGCCATTATTGTGTTACTGCAGCATCGCTGGCGTGGTTATTGTGCCGGGTTCCACAGCAGCGGGAAACATGCGTGCAGATGTCGGTGGTTTACGTCGATTTGTGTGTGGATAGCGCCAGATGCTTTGTAGCGTTTTGTTATGCAGTTCGTGTGTGAAGAACTTGACAGTATATCATTCCATCCCATGCTCGTTGCATTGTAGGACGAGCGACTCGGTAAGGGCGAGCGTAGCTAAGAGCTAAGGGCCCCCCGTTCTCGCACCGGGCGTCCACCTTGGGTTGACCACCTGACACCGGACTACGGCCCGGCCCTGGCACTGGGACGTGACCCGCCTCTGGCAGCAGACCCCAGCCTGGCTCCTGTGCCGAAGCCGAACTCGCTCCTGCCGGCAGCTTCAACGGCGGCTTCATCTCGGGCATGTTGGCCGGCCTGGACCAGGACCTGTGTGTGTGGCGGGGCGTGCAGACTGCCGCCCAGGCGGTGGTCGCTGCCGGCGCCGTGCCGGGCTCCCTGCACGTGCCGGACCGGATCAGCGGCGCCACTATCCAGTCAACGGAGATGACCGGAGGATGAGAGCCACGCGGGGCGGGGGGGGGGGGTGACCCTCAGCTCACCCGAGATGGCGAGGGGGTGAGGGTCAGTGGCGGCCACACCAACCGACGTGGTCTGAAGCTGGGGACCACACGGGGCCGGCTGGGGGTGGGGGCTCAGCTACTGGAACAGCTCGGACCGCCGCCAAGCCCACTCGGTCCGGCCGGCGGGCCTGGCGGCTGTGGGGGTCAGCGCGCGGCTGTCCGTCGTACTAGCTACCATGCGGGTCAGGCACACTCACGTGACGTGTTACCGTGCCGGGGGCGTCGTAGCCAGTTGTGTGTGCACGGATCATTCCGGTGTAGTGATAGGCTGCAGGGAGCAACATATTCTGACATTTCGTGGATAGACATGTTCCATAACCGCGGTCACGGACATTTTCCATGGCAAGTGATCTGCCGCATGGTTCAGCTTTCGGGCTTGCGCACTGCATACATATCAGCGACATATCTCCGGATATTCGTACCGGTTATGTGGGCGCTGTGGCCGCTCGCTTCAGACCGTGGGTTCGCAGACTGAACTGTAGCGGCGCGCTTGACTCGGCCGCGCAGGGACGGCGTGTGAGGGGCGGGGCGGCACGCTGGGTAGTTCGGACCAGGTCTCCACAGTCTGCAGTCTGTCACCGTCGCATGCGTGAATCTGAATCCGGCACGGACTGAAGTCTGCCCCGGGCGGCCCAGAGCGCCGGCCGCCCGGCGGGCCCAGGTGGTGACCGGTGTAGCAGTGTCATCTGTCGGTCGCCGGTGGAAGCTCGATTGCGGCGGCGTGGCGGCGGGTGGGATGTGCGCGCCCGTAGTCACGCGCGCCGGCGGAGCTTTGCGGCTGCCGTTACTGCTCTGTGATACACTGTGCCTGGGGACCAGTGCAGTCAGCTGCGCTCTCATCCGCGGCGTCCAATTTCACCGCCTTGTGGTGATCATTGCCGGTTTGCCAAGAACCTGTCGTTTTGTAGGACCTTAGGTTTTGGGCGAAAATGAAAGCAGGTGAAGCCATTTTGCATGGGGGATCATTGTCGACGATAGTTATTTGCTGTGCTTCTGTACCAGCGTTAGTGGCATTTTAGAGGCGGCGTTGGTGACGGTGGACTTTTCTTACCTATATTCAACATTGACGCTGATAAATACAAAACTCGGGTGTCTAGGGTAGAGTGTGCAAAATCCATCACCCAGGGAACTGCACGACCACGGCTCGTGCGCCCTGTCTACATGGCGTACGTTGCCAGCAGCTGTATAGTAGTGGAATGCTCAGCTGTCTGTACCTTTTCTAGCTGTAGCCTGAAAAGTGGGTGTGCCACACCCACGACTGTTGGACCAGTGACGCGTAAAGCACGAGACCGGCTGACTGGGAGTGGCCGGTCCCCTGCCGTCCCTCGTCACACCCGCGGCCGTCGCGAGGGTGGAGGGGGGGGGGGGGGGGGGCAGTCTGGCCGGCCGCTGTCCCGTACGAGAGGTGGTCGCCTCTGCCTGCCACGAATCACGCCGAGGCGGACTGTCTGGGCGCAGTGCTCGGGTGGAGTGTCTGGGCGGAGTGTCTAGGTGAACTCTCCTGGCGGAGTGCTTGGGTTAAGTACTCGGGCAGAGTGCCCGGATGGAGTGCCCAGACAGAGTGCCCGGGCGGAGTGGTTAGGTCGAGGTCGGATCACACCGTCCGGCATGAGCCGTCCGCCGGGCCGGACCGAGCGACGCCCGTCGTCGCCCAGGACAGGCTCGGCGCCGCCGCGCCGGGGCGGGCGGCGTGGAATTCCTTGGGAGACACCGGCTGGCCGGGATACCGATTACTGCCGAAATATTCCGGGGCTTGGTAATCTATTTCACGAGAAATGGATGACTTGAAAAAACAATGTTCGTTTTAGAATAAGGTAGGGTGATTCTGCCTGGTTACGCATCCGCGAAGAACATGTCCATTCCTGACAGCTGCGTGGCCACCTGGCCAGCGGACCGGCTGCGCGTCACTGGGAGTACCTGCGCCCCGTCCCGAGCGTGGCTTCCGGTGAGCTGGGCCGGCCGGCGCCGGGGCGGTCCGCCCCGCACGGTGCCGGCCAGGCTCAGCTGACTCCCGCTGGGCGGAGCCGTCAGCGGCGCGGCAGCACGCTCCGCCAGCTCCTCATCTTCAACGAGGCTACACGCGAACAGGGCACCGGTGCTCTGCTGAAACAGGGACAGCAGGTAGTCGGGGCCGCGCAGTCTGAAGTGCGTCGGAATCGCATGGTGTTTCCCTCAGCAGCCGCTTCCTTTTCAGTCGCTCGCATCAGTCCTAGCCAACATATCGGAGCTGATCATCATGGCTAAACTTCTCGTCAACATGTCCGGCAACAGCGCTGTATCAAAACGGAACGAGAAACTGTCCACAGACGGTGGACCGGCCAAGCCGCTGTCTTGGGCCACCACTCTGCTGGAGCACGGATCACTACCACAGCCTGGAAAACGCCACTGTCAGGGGCATCTCTGAGCCGACGCCGGCGCGGCCGTCGGGTCTTACCCGGAGCGGAGGAACCCGTTACGCGGCACGGTACGCAGCGCCGGGAACGTGTGGCACAGCACGGAGGACCACGTGGTGGCCTGGATTTCCGCCAGCTGAGCTGCAGCACATCAGCCATCTCCCGTCACAGCGGTGGTCTCGGCCGCACCGAACGTGATAGTCACAAACAACGCGGGGCTGGTCGTCATCAGTGGTGACCGCATCTTTGAAACGCATAGACTTGGGCGACGCGCACGCGCGCCCGAAGCTCTTGCGTCCGTTGACGCACGCGGTATGGGTTTACGGACATATGTGACACAAGAGGACGATTATTTACACATCCCAGGAAGTTGTAAACGTCAGCATATCATGAAGACAGCGGGTTGCTAATGTTAGCCGTACCAGTCTGACAGCTCAGAGACATTTCCTAGACTCCTGTGGGCGGACGCCGGCGCCTCACTCACCCCGGCTGAACATCGAGCCGACGTGGTTGTAAAAGTGTCGGTCGGCGTACTTGAGCCGCGCGAACTGCTCGGCCAGGATGCACTGGAAGGTGGGGCCCAGTATGCCCTCAGCGGCCCGATTCTCGGCGACCCCGGCCACGTACAGGTCAATGTCCTCCACGGACCTGTACACGGAGCGCAGCCGCGATACCTGCGACACGGCACCGGGCGCTGTCGTCACGGGCAGATCAGGGGGACGTGGTGCCGTCACGGGCAGATCGGGGGGACGTGGTGTCGTCACCGGCAGATCAGGGGGACGTGGTGCCGTCACGGGCAGATCAGGGGGACGTGGTGCCGTCACGGGCAGGTCAGAGGGACGTGGTGCCGTCACGGGTAGGTCAGGGGGACGTGGTGCCGTCGTGGGCAGATCAGGGGGACGTGGTGTCGTCACGGGCAGGTCAGAGGGACGTGGTGTCGTCACGGGCAGATCAGGGGGACGTGGTGTCGTCACGGGCAAGTCAGGGGGATGTGGTGCAGTCATGGGCGGATCGGGGGGACGTGGTGTCGTCACGAGTAGGTCAGGGGGACGTGGTGTCGTCACGGGCAGGTCAGAGGGACGCGGTGTCACGAGTAGGCCAGGGGGACGTGGTGTCGTCACGGGCAGGTCAGGGGGACGTGGTGCCGTCACGGGCAGGTCAGAGGGACGTGGTGTCGTCACGGGCAAGTCAGGGGGATGTGGTGCAGTCATGGGCGGATCGGGTGGACGTGGTGTCGTCACGAGTAGGTCAGGGGGACGTGGTGTCGTCACGGGCAGGTCAGAGGGACGTGGTGTCGTCACGAGTAGGTCAGGGGGACGTGGTGTCGTCACGGGCAGATCAGGGGGACGTGGTGACGTCACGGGCAGCTCAGGGGGACGTGGTGTCGTCACGGGCAGATCAGGGGGACGTGGTGTCGTCACGGGCAAGTCAGGGGGACGTGGTGTCGTCACGGGCAGGTCAGGGGGACGTGGTGCCGTCACGGGTAGGTCAGGGGGACGTGGTGCCGTCACGGGTAGGTCAGGGGGACGTGGTGCCGTCGCGGGCAGATCAGGGGGACGTGGTGTCATCACGGGCAGGTCAGAGGGACGTGGTGTCGTCACGGGCAGATCAGGGGGACGTGGTGTCGTCACGGGCAAGTCAGGGGGATGTGGTGCAGTCATGGGCGGATCGGGGGGACGTGGTGTCGTCACGAGGAGGTCAGGGGGACGTGGTGTCGTCACGGGCGGATCAGGGAGACGTGGTGTCACGGGTAGGTCAGGGGGACGTGGTGTCGTCACGGGCAGATCAGGGGGACGTGGTGCAGTCACGGGCGGATCAGGGGGACGTGGTGTCGTCACGGGCAGATCAGGGGGACGTGGTGTCGTCACGGGCAAGTCAGGGGGACGTGGTGTCGTCACGGGCAGGTCAGGGGGACGTGGTGCCGTCACGGGTAGGTCAGGGGGACGTGGTGCCGTCACGGGTAGGTCAGGGGGACGTGGTGTCGTCACGGGCAGATCAGGGGGACGTGGTGCCGTCACGGGCAGATCAGGGGGACGTGGTGCAGTCACGGGCGGATCAGGGAGACGTGGTGTCACGGGTAGGTCAGGGGGACGTGGTGTCGTCACGGGCAGATCAGGGGGACGTGGTGCCGTCACGGGCGGATCAGGGGGACGTGGTGTCGTCACGGGCAGATCAGGGGGACGTGGTGCCGTCACGGGCACGTCAGGGGGACGTGGTGTCGTCACGGGCAGGTCAGGGGGACGTGGTGCCGTCACGGGTAGGTCAGGGGGACGTGGTGCCGTCACGGGTAGGTCAGGGGAACGTGGTGCCGTCGAGGGCAGATCAGGGGGACGTGGTGCAGTCACGGGCAGATCAGGGGGGACGTGGTGCCGTCACGGGTAGGTCAGGGGGACGTGATGCCGTCACGGGCAGATCAGGGGGACGTGGTGCCGTCACGGGCAGATCAGATGGCGGGGAGGCGTCACGAGCAGGTCAGGGGGCGGGGGGCGTCACGAGCGGGTCAGTGGGACGCGGTGCCCCGCTTGCCAACGTCAAACCGCAGCAACACATGCCTGCAGAATGACAAACAATGCGCTCAGCTCTTGGGCCTCTTGGCCAAAGCCACTTTTTCTCGGCTTGTCGCTGCTGATGACGCCACATATGGCCTGACGAGCCTGTGTTGGTTGCGAGCCAGCGTGACGGCGCCGGTCCGGCTCGTGGCTGAACTCACGGCGCGCGCCGACATGCCGGCGGCCAGCTGCCGCCAGGTGCTGACGGGCGCCGCCAGGCCAGGACAGGCGGCCCTGAGCGCGGTCCGCGCCTGCACGTAGGTGGTGATACCGTGGTCGCGGCCGCGCTGGATGTTGAGCGCCACCAGGTCCAGACCGTGCTGCCAGAGGGGAGTGGTCACCGACAACACGTTAGACGACGCTTCAGCGGACACTGGACTGCTGCCACGACCGCGCAGTGAGCGCGGGGGCGCATCGCTCTCTCTCTTCAGCGGACACTGGACTGTTGCCACGACCGCGCAGCGAGCGCAAGGGCGCATCGCTCTCTCTGAGCATGCCTTTTTTATCAGATGACCGCGTCTGGTTAACTGAGGAAGGAACTGCCGGAACGAAAATGCAGGAACTACTACCCAATGATGTAGTCGCGTTAGTTGTTCGCTTCTTTCCGTAACCTGTATAATGGAAGAAAAGCAAACAGCAAGACCGTTTTAATTTCCGGATGATCAGTTATGCCCACTCTAACAGCGTACCAGGAGAGAAGAAGCATCTTTTCACGGGACAGAGATCTTACGTCAGCAACTAAGATTGACATTGGCGTACGGTCCGGTTTGCCGAATGGGTGTTGTAATTCTCAGAGCGTTTCTCACCAAAAATTATGGACCGCTTATCAGGCGTCGCAAACCTGAGAAACACTATTCTGTGTTACAAAAATCACGGCTATCCACCATAACCCGAAGCCACCATGACAGCACCACAATGGGAGAGTCACAAAGCGGGCCACCTGGTCGGCTGCCAGGCGGCGGACTGACCTTGTGCCGGCCGCGGAAAAGCTTGCCGACGATCTCGCCGGAGAACGTAGTGTCCATGGCCTGTCCGGGCTGCTGCACCAGGCTGCGCGCCACGGCCAGTCTCATGCCCCGCTCCTGCAGCCGGGCGCCGGGGCTGAAGAACACGTCACTGAGCCGCACCGGCCGGCTCCCGCCCGCCACCCTGCCGGCAGGCCGGTGGAGGCTGGGTTCGATTCCCGCTGTAGAAAGCTTTCGCCGGCACCAGTTTGAACCAGTCTCGCCGACCGACCGAGCCTGGCTGTTACGTCAACTCGACGGCCTGTGGTGCCAGGGGCGTCTGAGAGCACAGATGCGCGTCCTCGTGTCACTCTGCCAGGGGCCTAGCTCGAGGCCGGGGACTGGAAAGAACAGAGAGTGAACAGACTCAAACTGCTGCCCTGCCACCTTGGCGCTCGCTCCTGTCACTGGCCGCCTAATGAAAGGCTTCGATGTGGACCATTGTGCCGAACAGCAGCGACACGAGCGGACTGTACCGGACAGTCCCGGTGCTTCCCACCGAACAGCTCATCTACGTGAATTGTGGAGCAATACCTTATCCGACCGGCTTTGTTTGGACCCATAACGGACCGCTCCTTCAGTGAAATCCAACCGCGCTGTGTTGTATTGCCACTGGACGACCGCGCTGTGGGGCCCAAGCAGCATTGTCCCTCGCGTGGACCGGCACATATCGCGCCGAGCCGTGAACCCCCACCGCACGCCCTGTCCAACGACCTCTACCAGACTGTCCCAATGTGTGGACCCCCCCACACAGCTCCTGTGCAAGGACTCATACCAGTCTGTCCCAATGTGTGGACCCCTCCACACAGCTCCTGTACAAGAACTCATACCAGCCTGTCCTCATGTGCGGCCCCCTACCGCACAGGTCCCGTACAAGGGCTCATACCAGCCTGTCCTCATGTGTGGCCCCCAGCGGGTCGCTCCCGCGTGTGGACCCGTACTTGACCACGCCTGACACCAGGGAGTGTCCGAAGCGGAAGGCGGCCGCGGAGAACTCGTTGATGATGCCCGGGTGGAGGGCGGGCATGTAGCGGGCCGGCCGGTCCAGCCGCAGCCTCCGCACCAACGACGGACCCAGCACGATCGGCAGCCACTCCTCGTACGTGATCTTCTGCATCAGCGCCACATTCAGGGCCCGGGCCTCCTGAAACAGGCGCGTGATCACGTGTGTCGACCGTGGTCAGCACCGGCCGGCGCCCAGCACCTGTCTACGGTACTGTCGTCCGTTTTTTCATGTTCATCTTAAATATTTCACATTGCATCGTTTGTCACTGGGTTAAGGTGCTAGACATTCCATGATAAATAACTTGGGAAGCGGGTTTTTGCTCGAGTCCGTGGCAAATTCAACCCCCGACCAAGCATGCCTCTGTGAGGCTCGAATAAGAGTGGTTAACCTGGCCAAGCCAGCGCCCACGCCATTCTAACAAGGGCAAGCAGTCTGGCACTAGAACACCTGCGTGACTGCGGGCTTGCAACGCTACCTGAAACAGGTCCTCTTCGGACGCGGCTGGGTTCAGCCTCTTCAGACGGTCGGCGATGTGGTTGTGCATGATGGCCCAGATGTTATGCATCAGCGTCAGCGAGATCTGCTCGTTCACGCGCGAGTCGCCTGCTGCCACAACGCACGTCATCGCATGGACGAGCGTCACCAACCATCCGGTGAACGGATGCATAAGGCCGTTGGTGTGTGCTGTATGTTTTCGAAGTACGTCCTACAACGCACGGAAATTCAACGTTCCAATGCAGGACGGGCGTCCGGAGGCCGCTCACATTACGCGGGGATCGGTTTTATGGACGGCGTGCGGACTTCAGCTGGTGCGCCATGTTTTGAGCGATCTAAACCGGCTGCTCGTCCGTTTTGTGACTGAAAAATACGATGAGAGAGCAGATTGGCTTGGCACTGTGTGATAATGTGTGTGCGACTGTTTGCGCGAGATGCGCAGGACTTATATTCAAATTTTCACCGCG